CCCAATTCCTGCAATCGTTCTTCATATGTTTTAACCTCCAAGGTCCCCTAATCCTCTTTGTTGCTCTTCTCTGAACTCTTTCCAGAGTCTCCACATCTTTTCTACATCATGGCGACCAAAACTGGATGCCGGATTCCAAGTGTGGCCTTACCAAGGCTTTTTAAAGTGGTATTAACCCTTCATGTGATCTTGATTCTGTCCTTATATTCTTGATTCTGTGACTTTCTATATTCCTTCCACGTTGGCCCCTATTCCACCCCCTTCTCTGAAAATTTTTTTGATTTCTCTTTCGGGCAGATCTGTCATCTCTTCTCCATCCTTCACCAACACCCACACAGGATCTCTTGGAAAAACAGATTCATTTCCTGCCTCGTTTAGCAATTCTTAGGAATGGTTTTCCTTCCCCCTCCTCCTCTGAGATGCAGAATTTCTTCTTTTTTTATTTTTTTCAGCCACAGGGCGGGTTTTGCCTGAAAATGAGTTCACCGTTGAAGAATCCGGCAACCAGAAAGCCATTGTCGGACAGAGGAGAATAAAAATAAAAACAATCCGTGAGAGGGTCGTTTGAAACAGCTCACGTTTTCGTCCATCCCAAGTCAGGGAGTCCTCGATTTGCAATCCATTCGTTCAGTGACCTGTTTGAAGTTGCGACGGCACTGGGGAAAAAGTCCCCACATGCACATGATCAAGGTTGACTCGTCCTTCCGACCTTCCATGGTCGGTAAAATGAGGACCTGGATTTTTGGGGGTGGGGATAATAGGCTGAATCTGTAAACTGCTTAGAGAGGGCTGTAAAGCATTGTGAAGCGGTATATAAGTCTAAGTGCTATTGCTATTGCCCTTTTCTCCTTCCTTCCTTCCTTCCTTCCTTCCTTCCTTCCTTCCTTCCTTCCTTCCTTCCCTCCCTCCCTCCCTCCCTCCCTCCCTCCATGAGCCGTTGTGGCACAGTGAATAGAATGCAGTGTTGCAGGCTAACTCAGTGCCCACTGCCAGCAGTTCGATCCTGACCACCTCAAGGTTGTCTCAGCCTTCCATCCTTCCGAGATCGGTAAAATGAGGACCCAGATTGTTGGGGACCAAGAGGCTGACTCTGTAAACTGCTTAGAGAGGGNAACCGCTCCAAACTCGATTGCAGAAAATACAACTTCAGCAACAGAGGGGTCAACGCCTGGAATGCTCTACCTGACTCCGTTGTTATGTCCTCAACCCCCCAAAACTTTAACCTCAAACTGTCTCCCGAGGACCTCACCCCATTCCTAAGAGGTCCGTAAAGGGGGAGGGTGCATAAGCGCACCAGCCTGCCTTCCGTCCCTGTCCTACTGTCCCCATTTATCTGTACTCCTATCTTTCATTCATGTCCATGTTTATACACCTTTTATCTCGTGCATGTTTGACAAACCAGATGAAGGAATGAATAAAATAAAATCTGCTTCATCAGACACCCTGTTTCCTGCTCCTCAATCTTCCTAAGATCCCAGAGGACGACGCCCCTTGCTGCAAACCATGGCTTGTCAGATCCCCTGACCCACCGCTAACCTACACGGCCAACCAGGGCCCCCTCTTGCTGTCCATGGCCACTGATCCAGGGGGTATCCTAACCCTGGCCTGGAATTAGGATTTCGTGATGGGCCGGCGGGGTGTTGACCATGCTTTGCTCCCTGGTGGAGCGACAGTTCTGAGTCACGCGTGAAGGAAGCCGTGGAAAAGCTCCCCTAAGTGGGTTGCTTATTGGTTCGTTTGTGGCTTAATACCCTGCGCCAAGAACAGAAAATGGCTCTTGGGGTCTGGATGCCGGGGAAATGAAATTGGTGGACCCTGGAGAGCGAGAGCGAGACTCCACAACACATCATCCATGCTTCGCTACATGTCCCATCGTTTTTGATTGCGTCCCAAACCTAACCTCGTTTCCCAAGTGCCCCTCGTATTTTTCCTTGCTTCAAGACGGCCGGGATGCTTTTACAATACACAGAGCTGGAAGGGACCTTGGAGGTCTTCTAGTCCAACCCCCTGCTCAGGAGGGAAACCCTAGGCCACTTCAGGCAAATGGTTGCCCAATCTCTTTTTGAAAACTTCCGGCGTTGGAGCGTTCACAACTTCTGGAGGCAAGGCGTTCCACTGATTAATTGTTCTCACTATCAGGAACCTTTTCCTTAGTTCGAAGTTGCTTCTCTCCTTGATTAGTTTCCATCTGTTGCTTCTTGTCCTGCCTTCAGGTGCTTTGGAGAATACCTTGACTCCCTCTTCTTTGGGGCAGCCCCTGAGATATTGGAAGACTGCTATCATCTCTCCCCTAGTCCTTCTTTTCATTAAACTGGACATACCCAATTCCTGCAATCGTTCTT